CCCCCCCCCCCCCCCCCCCGCCGACCTGGGGCGGCTGTTCTCGTTGCGAACGTGCGTGCGCACCACCCCCTCCAGAGAAGGCGTGGGCCGGGAGCCCTTTGGGGCGCGGAGTTTTGTGCGGCGCGCCCTCGTGTTGGGCACACCCGGCGGCCGCACATCCGCGAAAGGGGCCCGGGGTGGCCGGGGGACCGGACGAGACGGGTCCGAGTTGGCGCGGAGGAAAGTGCCCGGATGATGATCGCCCGGCTCCCCTCCGCCGGGCGGCGGTCGATCTTTCCAGGGGACTCGGCCGGGCCGGGCCGGGCCCTGTGCGCCGCGGCCAGCGACCCACGGAGTAGTGGCGGGAGCGCGGACATCAAAAATGGCAGGGGCTGGCCAAAAATGCCGCGCCAGGCGGCCCGGGACAGGGCCCGGTTCTCCAGGGGCGCCGGGCGTGCCCCGCCCAACGTGAGCGCGCGCGCGCATGCCCACACACACACACACACACATCTGCATTCGGCTCCGGGTGGCCGGGCAGCCCGCCCGCGCATGCGGAGCAGCCACAGCACCCAGCGTGCATTCCATTCCCCTACCCCCTTCCCTCGGGGGGAGGCACCATTTTTGAGAAGCCCCCGTGCGGACTGGGCCGGCCCGGCCGAAAGCCTCGGAGTGGGGAGGACGGAACCCGGGGGGGGGGGGGGGAGCGGGGCATGGGGGGCGGCCCGCGGTCAACGGCACTACGCCGGCCCACTTGTCCGCCCGCTCGTACCCCCCCCCCCCCGGGCGGCAAGCCTGTGCGGCCGAGGGAAAGCGAAACCAAGGGGCGATCGCTCCTGGCCTCGCAATAAAAGACCACGGCGATCGGCACGCAAGAATGATATGGGCGCGGGGGCCGCCAGGGCGACGGAAAAAACGGTAACCGGCGGGTCAATGCCTCCCCGCTGCGCCCGCCCGCCCGCCCGCCCGCCCAGCGCGCCTCGTCTCCGGGTCTGTGTCTCTCCGCCGCGCCCCCCCCCCCCCCCCGCCCCTCTCTTTGCCTCGGCGGTCGGCGGCCGATGAAGCGCCCGCCAAGGCGGAAGGGCGGCCGGGGCCGGGTGACGCATCCGTGGAGGCCCGGCGAATGTGCCGGCCTTCTTGCTTTCACGCCCTCGCCTGGTCCGGGCCCCCCCCCTGCCCCCGCTCCCGGCTCTGCCTGGCCCTCCACTTGCCCGCCTGGCGAGAAAAAAAAAATAATAATACAAAGCGCCCGGAGGGGCCCTGCCGACGGATGCGTCCCCCGGCGTGATCAGGCGCAGATCACTCGCAAATGGCCAACATCAGCCGATTAAATGGACCCCAATAAGTCCCGGCAGACGACCGTCCGACAAGTGAACCCGACTCCCTCCCGCCCCTGGGCAGTGGAATACCCACAGGGGGGGAGGTCGGGCCGCTCTGCCACTTGCTTTTTATTTTTTATTTTTTTGCAACACGCACAGACACACAGACTCGCTGCTCCTGCCGGCCTTTGCCCCCGGAGCATGTAGGATGAGTCTTTCAGCGCCCCTTGTGAGGCCCTCTCGCGCGGGGCACAGCCGAGGAAGCACTTACCCCCCGCCCCCCGGCTCCAGGCCGCCGCGGTGATCGGCACCGGCCCGACACACCCCGGCAATCGGGGGGCACCCGTTAGCGGCCGCGGCCACGGCCGCCGGAGTCCGGAAGTTGCCCCCGGATCCCGGCGTCGTCGCCCCGCCCGCGCCCCCAACATTTGGTGGCAACCTCGTGCCCCCGCCCCACTGGGGTGCGGCCGCCCCCGCGCGGTGTCCCGACAGGCCTGGCACGACTTTCGGCCGCCCCCCCCCCCCAGCCGGCCGGCCTGGTCCCCGGAATGGG